ACATCATATTGCTCAACACTTGCCTCCTCGTCCACATCATCTCTATTGACTTCTACTGAGACAGAATCGTGACCACCACTCAATTCGACATCAAAGTAATCATCTGGATTCACATATTGGCCTGCTACTTCTGTCGGGTATTCAGGGTTGACTCCGTACGACGACCAATGAACACTCACCGACAAATGTTCACTTAGATCAAGCCCCTCTTGTACTAACTCCCTTTTCATCTCCCTCGCTGCATCCACATCATCACTACCGCAATGTCTCTTTGATGGTCCTGCCTCCCATAAATCATTTCCAAGCAAAGGTCTCTTCTTCTCTCCTTCCCCCTCCAAGTCTTCCCGTACCAACTCAGTCTTACTTGTACCCCCTCCACGACGAGAATAATATGTCACAAAATTCTTCTCAACGTAATGATAAGAAGGAGATTTGTTTAGATCCAAATTTTCTACGGTACGAACTAACTTTGATGCAAACACCTCTAGAGATCTAAACTGAGACTCTTTTACCAAATCAAAGTAAACTTCCCATTCCAACTGACCTATCACATTTAATATATACTTATGCCCTTGACCAACATCGTATCTCCCATAAAAACGAATCTCCACATTATCCTCGTCCATCCAAGAACTTCTTTCACTCGTGACCTTAGTTCATCTAGAGTTGGGTGGGTAGGAAACAAAATGGTCTTCAATGACATATCCTCAAACTCAACATGTGCACCAACATAAGGTTCCACCACTCTACCACCGTAGTAAACACGAACAAGTCTATCCATCTACACCAAAAAATCAAATGTAACTTTGCAACAAAAATTAAATCTTCATTCCTAAACGTAGTCCAAACCGACATATTATAACCAATGCATAACTTAAATTGTCCCAAAGCTACTACTCCAAAAAAATATTTAATCCACCTACAACTATCAACAAGTTTACTAGTGCATTACACATCGAAATATTACAAATACTCCGTCATACAACCCAACCTAGTTCTAGTTAACTATAATCAATTTATATAATGCAACCAAAATTTGCTCACCTTCATATAATTAATGGTTAAAAGTTTAACCTATAGACTATAGCATCAAGTCCATCAAATTAAAATTACTTTCATGCCTCAACTATAATTTTTCATCCATCCATCCAACCAAACCATCCAAAAATTAACATTACCACATATATGGTTAAAAAAATCGTGACACCAATGAGTACATTGCAAACATGTAGCACTACAACAAGCCAATCCTAAGAACAAATGCTAAAAATCACAAATTTGGGTAAAAAAGGGGTTCTAGGATTACCCACCGATCTACAAATTCAACCAATAAAAGCGAAAAAAAAGAGGGGTGAATGAAGGAGTCTACCTTTCTCTTCGATTTCCACAAAAAATCCCGCGAAAAACGAGTTCAAATGGAGTGGATTTGAGGTGGGGAGGTGAGGGGGAGAGAGAGGGGGAGAGCTGCTGCTGCTCAGCTCGGGCTGGTGCTCGGGCGAAAATGGGAGTGGGGAGTAGATAGGTGGTGGGGCCCACGGGGTTTAAGGGGTCGGCCCACAGAGGAGGGGCGCGCCAGCCATGCTGGCGCCATGCTAGGAGGGGCGGCGCCAGTGTGGCTGGCACCCCCATTCTGCCCAGTCAGCACCTCCATGACAGCCCTAGTGCCACGGTGGCACGGGCATGGCGCCAGTGTGGCTGGCGCCGCCATGTTGGGGTACGGCGCCAGCCACTCTGGCGCCCCAAAAAGGACCATTTCCGGTTTAAGTTTTTCTAAGGGTCTATTTGTAAAATAAGTTTTCAAAAAAAACTAAAATGTAAAAATTTCAGTTGTAGCAGGTCGCATACACTAGCATGGAAGAGAGGAGGAAAAAAAGGTGAACGTGAACCACTGGTCTGCCTTGTGTTTGGTACGCATTGTACGGCAGCCACTTGCATACCGCCTTTGATGCAATCATGTGCATGCTGGCATCCTCCCGGCATCCATATATACACATAGGTTGTTCCTCTTGGACAACATTGTCTCTTTAACAATACCACCCTATACCATGGTCAACAATATTAGAATACATGCGACATTATTTTGGGAGACCAAAATGTTGGAATTTTTTAGTGATAAATTTTGAACAAAATTTGCTCTTTTTTTTAAATAAAAAAACAAGTTTGTCGCTATGGGAAGCACATCGCGCTGGGACCTGCCGGTGAACCCTGTCTCGCACAAGAAATTATTAATGAGATCATTACTACTCTAGTGTGACAACTATTTTTTAGAACAAATTAATTCAAATTCTAAAAATACAATTATTATAGTACACAGGTAGAATAATATCAACTAGATCCGTAGTTTTCTGAAATTTTACTCCTTTAACGTAACTGTAGTTCAAAATACCGGCGCACACAATTTCCGGCACGATAGTTTGGCCTGTAAAATCTGTAGTGAGCTTTTCTTCAGTTGTTGGTCCCCCGATGAGTAACATCATCAAGCACGGACGTACACCCATTGGAGCGAGGAGAATGCAGCCCCGTACACGTAGATTACGTATCTGAGTGTGGGGATCGGGGACCCAATTAAACCCCCCCTGTTTCCACTCACATGATGCATGCCAGATTTGCCAGCTGCTCACTCACTCACTCACTCACTCCACACCTCAGGTAGAACACACAGAGAGAGAGAGAGAGAGAGAGAGAGAGAGTATAAAATCCTATCAGAGATGTGTGTGCTTGGTACTACGTACCTCCAGTAGCAGCATGTTGCTGTGATGTGAGCCTGTAGTGGTGGTGGTAGCACGGTGTCGCAGTATCTTGTTGCTTGGACGCGCATGAATGAAGGCGGGCGAGGGCGCGCGACGGACGACGGCCACGGGCGGCTGCCGGCAATGAATGAAAGGCGTCATCTCAACCTCGTGACCGCGCGCAGCGCCACCAGCCGACTATCAGCTTCTTCGCGTCTCACCGGGGGCGCCCCCTCGCCTACGCCCTACCGTACTTGGCGATGCAGAGTCTGAGTCCACCCCCCATCCAACAACACACATATTTCCTCCATCTCAAAATTAAAAATAAAAATCTAATACTCCCTATGTTTTGGGTTAGAAGATGTTTTGACTTTGATCAAAGTTAAACTGTTTTAAGTTTGACCAAGTTTATAGAAAAAAAATAATAATATTTTCGACTCAAGATAAATTTATTATAAAAATATATTTAATTATTAATTTAATAAAATTAATTTGGTAATGTAAATATTACTATATTTGTTTATAAGCTTAGTCAAACTTAAAGCTATTTGACTTTGACCAAAGTCAAAACATCTTATAATCTGAAACGGAGAGAGTATGTTCGATCTCATCTTCTTAAGAGAAAAAAAGTATTATTTAACAGTTTGAAAAGCATGCTAATGAAAAACGAAAAACGAAAAAGTTAAAGTTTGGAGTTGAAGAAAAGAATGGGGCTACATGTTTATTCAAATTCTTTAGTACTATAATGTATCACGTTATGTGCTAAGTTTATTTATTTTGGTACGGAGAAAGTAAACTGAATATAAGTAAATAAAATAGAGGATGAATTTTAGACAAATGCTTATCTTGATTTATCCCTAAAAGTTAATGTTTTTTTAGGACGGAAGCATTATAAAAAAGAGCAAACTCACTATCGCTGTGGAATAAATTTATGGGTAGAACTTTTATGTGCGTGTCACTAACGGTTTAAAAACTAACTACGTTGAAATAACTAAAAAATTTAAGTTTTTATAATTCAGAATTTAGTTACGACTGAAAAATTAATACGAAAACGATGAGAGGCTCAATCGCGTCGATGCCAGGGGTACTAGCTCTGCTGCTACTTGTCTGCCTCACTAGTCACTCACTGCTGGTGTTGTGGTGAGCACAGCGCTTTGGTTGGACGTCCTACCATCCTTGGTGTTGTGGTAAAAAACACGGAATCACACTATTTTATACACACAGATAATGGTTCACAAAAAAATAAAATTGTACTGAATTTAGTTTCTTTGCGACGTAGGAGTATACCTTAGAGCACAGTGAAACTCTGCGTTATATTGAGCTTCTTCTTGGCGCGAAGTACAGATATTGCTAAATTGAATAATCAAATTTGTCTGTCCTGGGACATGGCAAAAGCACTGAAGTGTGTGTGACTTCAAAAAAACACAATAAATACTCCTACATAAAAACTAAACAATTCCTTCAGGGAGGGAGCAAGAGAGAAGAGCCTCTGACCATCACATGAAGCTCGACCATTCATTTCGAGCATATTTACTTGCAAGAGAACACAAGGGTGCACTGCACTTATTGGAAGTGTAGTAGTAGTACTGCATAGAGGGTTAATTCTGAGCGATGTGTACAGCCATGTAGTTATTGATTTGCCCCTACAGCTCACGTAATTGCCCCCAATCAATTTGGCCGCAAAATCTCCCTCCGCTTTTGTGGAACAGTACATACATTGCTCTCAATCACATTTTGATCTTGAGGCTTGTGTTCAAACCTACTCCCTTCGTCCCACAAAAAACCAACCTAATATTGAATGAGATATTTCCTAGTACAACAAATATTGGATGAGATGTTTTCTAGTACAATGAATCTGGACAGATAATAGAAAACATCATATTTAATACTAGGTTAGCTTTTTTTTAGGACGAAGGGAGTACGACAAGGATGGAGATTAAGTATCCACACAGAATGAGAAAATCATTAGCGTACGTTTAATTAAGTTTCAATTATCATAAAATAAAAAAATGATTCTATTTGATATATTGAAGCAATACACCATTAAACAGTTTGAAAAACTTCCCAATGAAAACCAAGATAAAATTTATATATTAGAGTGTGTTTAGTTCACACCAAAATTAAAAGTTTGATTGAAATTGTAACGATGTGACGGAAAAGTTAGAAGTTTGTGTGTAGGAAAGTTTTAATGTGATAGAAAAGTTAAAAGTTTGAATAAAAAGTTGGAAAACTAAACCAGACCTTAATTAGAAAAGAAGAGAATAAACATGCTGCTGCTACTACTACCTTTTTATGAACCAATTACTCCTCCCCATCAGTACCCAGCAGTATCACTTCACAGAAACATTGAGCCCAAAAAATCAATAAAATAAAAATAAAATAAAGAAATGACAGCAAAAAAAGTTACTCCACTAAAAGAATGAAAGGACTCCTGCTATTTAAGGGCCACCACCTAGCCCTACCTCTAGTCTCCCAAAGAGCCACCATCCCATAATATATCACCACACACTTCCTGCCTCCTACTAGAAAGCACACACTACACCCTCCTCACTCTCAACCTCAGCCTCACTGTGACTGTCCCCAGCAATGCTCACCCCCTCCTCTTCTTCTTCTTCCTCCTCTCCCCTCCTCCTGTCCTTCCAAGATGTTTGCTGACTTCTCTGCTGCTGCCATGGAGCTTGGAGAGGTGTTGGGCTTGCAAGGACTCACAGTGCCATCCACCAAGGAGGGTGATCTGAGCCTCATCAAGAGAGCTGCTGCTGGTAGCTTCACCCAGGCTGCTGCTGCATCATACCCTTCCCCCTTTCTTGATGAACAGAAGATGCTCAGATTCGCCAAGGCTGCTCACACATTGCCATCAGGTCTGGCCTTGCTCATCACCACATACATACACACTTCCATGTTATTAACTTGCAATAGGTTAGAAGCAAAGATCATGTGTGCATGTATGTATGTAAGGCCATTGATCTGTGTATTTCTCTGCAACTCATGATGGACAGTGTTTTTTTCTGTTCACCTGCACAAATGAGAGGGAAAAAAAGTCAGAAAAGATAAATCAAGTGATACATTTATTGAACTTGATGAGCTCTCATGAGTGCTACAGAACGAGTCATGGGGATGAGCACAAACCCTGGGGCCCCCTTCCCAAACCTAAGGCTGTTTCATTTCATTGCTTTATTTTAACTTTACACTTTTGTCTTGACTCTGGCCGGTGCATGCCTTAACCATATCCATATCTATCTCAAGATAAGGTTTTTGATTCTTTCGAATATATTATTGACCACACTAAAATGTTTTTCCTTGACTTATCCAGGTTTGGATTTTGGGAGGGAAAATGAGCAGAGGTTCTTGTTGTCTAGGACCAAGAGGCCTTTCACTCCCTCACAGTGGATGGAGCTGGAGCACCAGGCTCTCATTTACAAGTATCTCAATGCAAAGGCCCCTATACCTTCCAGCCTGCTCATTTCAATCAGCAAAAGCTTCAGATCATCAGCTAACAGAAGTATGTATTCAAACCCAAATATCTTGATGCTTTAAACCTGAAAACTCACATTTTCATATCCTGGGTAGAACAGAAAAAAAACTGTTTACTTATGTTACTGCATATACATGAAACACATGTTAAGTATAAATGAGCAAAATAGAAATGCAGTATTTTACATCAACTTGAAACGTACGATCATCAAGTTACATACATACATTACATACACCAATATGTGTGTCAGTTAGGTGTATGTAAAGAATACTGCTTTCACAAACTGAATATTGCAAATCTGAGTGTACAAGTGAGCATGTTATTAACAAAAAGGAGCTGCATACAAGCTGTATCAATGTTACGTTCTCAGTTCTCACCAGTTCAGGTTTATTATGACAAAAGGCAACGTGATATGTAAATCAAATGGAAACATGACATACTTATTGTACTGCAGTGAGCTGGAGGCCTCTCTATCAAGGCTTCCCAAATGCAGACTCTGACCCAGAACCTGGAAGATGCCGTCGAACAGATGGCAAGAAATGGCGGTGTTCAAAGGAGGCCATGGCCGACCACAAGTATTGTGAGAGGCACATCAACAGAAACCGCCACCGTTCAAGAAAGCCTGTGGAAAACCAAAGTAGAAAGACTGTGAAAGAGACACCGTGTGCTGGCTCATTGCCATCTTCTGTCGGGCAGGGCAGCTTCAAGAAGGCAAAAGTTAATGAAATGAAGCCACGCAGTATCAGCTATTGGACAGATAGTTTGAACAGGTTAATACATCCTTAAACTTGGTTTAATATTCTCAACGTGCAAGTATTTTAGTGCTACAGACTGAATCACAGTATTTTTTTCCACCATTTTTGCATATCCTATTGATGGTTTAAGATTTTCTGGTACATTTTCATGATAGAAGGTAATCGTTGTGGTTCTGGTGGAAAAAAATCTCTTATAAAGAATGGAATACAAATGCTGCAATATAGTCAGGGACAAAGGAAAACAACTAGATTATTTCAGTTTTAATAGAAAGTAATAATCATTTAATTTGAAGACCTGTACACATTTGCAGGACAATGGCGAACAAAGAGAAAGGAAACAAAGCTGCTGAAGAAAACAATGGCCCACTGCTAAATTTAACGAATCAACAGCCAACATTGTCCCTGTTCTCTCAGTTGAAGCAACAGAACAAACCGGAGAAGTTCAATACAGCAGGAGACAGTGAATCGATTTCTTCAAATACCATGTTGAAGCCTTGGGAGAGCAGCAACCAGCAGAACAACAAAAGCATTCCTTTCACCAAGATGCATGATCGTGGATGCCTTCAGTCAGTCCTTCAGAATTTCAGCTTGCCTAAGGACGAGAAAATGGAGTTTCAGAAAAGCAAAGATTCCAATGTCATGACAGTTCCATCAACTTTCTATTCCTCGCCAGAGGACCCACGCGTCAGCTGCCATGCACCTAATATGGCACAAATGCAAGAGGATAGCATCTCAAGTTCTTGGGAGATGCCTCAAGGTGGACCTCTAGGTGAGATCTTGACAAACTCCAAAAATCCTGACGATTCAATCATGAAACCAGAAGCAAGGCCATATGGTTGGTTACTGAACCTCGAGGATCATGCAATGTGAATCTTCAGGAAATGGAGATCAAGTCGTTAATGAGCTCACCATGGGATAGCTTTAGTATTGGCGTTACCCATGCATGTTATTCCCTTCTTTCTGTTCTCAAGCTTCTGCAATGTAATACCAGCTAATTGCGATTTTCAGTTCTTATGAATTCAGCTGTATCCTTGAAAAAACAATTTGCCCCTTATCAGATACCATTAGCTAGAAATCTACTGGGCTGATTGAGGAAAATGAACTACGGGGATTCGCTTCTAGCATATAGCGAGTTGTAAAATTTCCATGCAATAGTTCCAGCATAACTATTCCAAGGATCTCAATGTTTTAGATAACTTGAGTTAATGTCCATGAGTTTGTCAAACATGCAAGCACTACTACATTGATCGCACCTAACATTCAGTATCCCAATATGAAGTACAAGTGTACAACAGCTGGAAAAAATGAACAAATTCAAATACAGCAGAGAAAAAACGAGAGAAAAAAGTTCTCTTTTTTTAGGAAAAAAAACAACAACTACGTCCAAGTTTTACAATGGTTCAGACTTCAGACACCTAAAACAACAACTACATCCAAGTTTTACAATGGTTCAGACTTCAGACACGCATGAGCCTCGTCAAAATTCCATCCTAAAATGAGTCGAATCAGCACCAAGAAACATCTCTTCTTTATCGTTCAGGCTCAAAACACGGAAGGCAAGATGATATCTTCACACAAGCGAAGACTGAAAAAACTGAGTTGCAGTGGCTCAGACACGCACAAAGGTCATCAAATTTTTTTGGTCCTTGATTGATTGAATCAAGTCAGCATCGAGAAACAAAGTAGTTAGTCCTCACAGCCACACTACAACAACGCAAATGCAAGAAACAGCCAATAAACATAGAAGAGGAAAAAGCTAATAAAGACACCTAAATACTAGTAGTAGCATCGAGTGGCATCGTGCAGACATACTAACTTTCGCAGAAATCGATTCGGACATGGTGTGTTTGGGGTGGCTCAGACACGCACAAATTAAGGTCAGCACAGTTCTGGTCCTTGAACAAATCAAGTCTCAGCATCGAGAAACGAGGTTTGATTGTCATCACAGCCACGAAACCACAATCAAATCCGACACCAACAAGCCCAATCTGAACACACAAGAGACACAAGAGACAAGAGAAAGCATATGTTAGAATAGAAACCAATGGCATCGTTAACCGAAATCCCAGCCGCTTCCAAGAACAAATCTGTATCCACCACAGAAGAAGGGTGGAGAAGCTACAGGAAGCGATCGATTGGAGAAGACGACGCTTCAAGAAAATCACCAAGAACGAAGCAAACCGTGCGAAATCCGCGACGAGCCGAAACAGAACCAAAAAAAAAATAAAGGCCCACTCGTTTCGAGGCACAAAGTACCGCGCGCCTCGCCGGCCCGCCTCCTCGCTCGACCTCGCCGCCGGCCGCCGGCCGTCGCCGCCAACCGCTCGCGCACCCAGCTCGAGCGCTCGCCGCTTGTTAATACTGCTAGTACTTCGTTAGGGTTAGGGCTTGTGGGAGATGAGATCTCGGCCGTCCATTCCTGGGATTCGACGCGGGGATCTGCTGGCCGGGCCAACCTCGTTAGTCCTGATAGTGGGCCACGGCCCATTACTGAGGCCCACAGGAACCCAATCTCGCCATTTTTGCTTGCCTTAGAAAGGAAAAAGTCTACTTTGACTCCCTTAAAAATAAGCTGAATCTAATTCGTACCCCTCAACAACAAAACCGGACAGGAAAACTCCCCGAACTATTGAAATCAGTGCAACTTGACTCCCTCAGCGATTTTGGATGGTGGTTTTGCTGACGTGGCGCTCACATGGTAGGGTTGACCTGGTCTTTGTCCCATATGGTATTAAAACTTAAAATATATATGTGGGACCCATTTATTATTAAAAAAATATTATGGGCCACACTAACATATGGACCCACATGGCATCCTCTGTCTCTCTAACCCTTCTTCCTCCTCCCTCTCTCCCTTATCTCTCTCTTTTCTTTTCCCCTTCAGCCGGAGCGGCAGCGGCATACCGGTACCGGCCACGTGGCGGACACTGCTCCGTGCACTCCACCTAGAATTGTTGCACGCACCCGGGCCCGCGCCAGAGCACGTCGTCGGCCGCCGCGAACTCCCCAAGCCATCGTCGTCGTGCAGTAACTTGAGGTAGAGCACTTCGATGCCCAGGCCGTCGAGGCCTAGCATGACCACGGCTGACGCGCTGGGGACCCCGTCGTCACGGCGAGGAGCCGAGGAGCATGGAGGCTGTCCCGTGAACTCCCGGGAGAGATCTTGCTGGTGGGCGTGACGAAGTCGACGTGGTACGTGCCGTGGAGTCCTTGAAACTTGAACTCACTGCTGTCCTCGGCGTGGCCGTGCGTGCGGGTGAGACAATCTCGCTTGAGCTGGAGCAGGCAGCGGCCGCCCTCGTTGAGAGTCTTTTACCCATATGCTATTAAAAAAATTGCTGTTTACCTGTGTGCCAGAAAAAAATTTGAAGTTACTTGTATATCATGAGTCTAATTTTCGTTGATCCGTGTACCATTTTAGATGGATGGAGACATAACAGAGATGTTATGGGCTGTGTAAAGACAATTTTGCCCTTGTGTACAATAATGGTTTAAAAATCAGAAAAGTGAAAAATAATTTAGAAAAGGCGTTAAAAATAAAAAAATGGAAAATAAATTTTTAAAAAAGTTAAAAACCAGAATAAGTGAGAATAAGTTTTAAAAATGTTTAAAAATCCAGGAAAAAAAAGGAAAATGTGGGATAAATTAGAAAATGGTGGAAAAAATAGGGAAAAAATTAGACGGGGGGCGGGAGCTGGCCTGGAGGCGGCTTGGAGGCAGGGGGCGCCGGCCTGGGGGCGAGGGCGCAAGGCCGCGCCAGCCTGGGCGCGCGGCGACGGGGCGTGCCGGCCTGGGGCGACGGGGCGACGGGCCGATGGGGCGCCGGCGAGGCTAGGCGGCGGCGATGGCTACGGCGAGGCCAGGCGGCGGCAGCGGCGTGCGGCTAGGGTTAGGGTGCGGCTGGCGTGCGGCAAAAACAGGGAGAGAGCAGGAGAAGAGAGAATGAGAGTAGAGCTGAAAATAGAGCAGGGGCAAATTAGTCATTTTCATACATGGGTCTCATATGTCAGATATATGGAACCGTTAAGTTCTAACAGAAGATGGACGGAATGGCACACGGGTCAACGAAAGTTAGCCTCATGGCATATAGGTGACTCCAAATTTTTTTGTGACACACAGATAAGCAACAACATTTTTAGTGGCATAGAGGTAAAAGACTCCATCGTTGACCTCTCGTCTCCCTCGGCGTCGACGAGGTGCGCATCATCGCGGCTCATGAAGAGCTCCCAAAATCCCAAGAGCACGACACGCTGTCCGCCGCCAAGTGCGTGTACGCATCCCGGAGCATCACCTCAGGTTGTCGGCGCGGACGTGCTCGTTCGCCAACGACACGTCCAGCTCTGTGGACTCCCAACGCCCAACGGCAAGCCCAACACGGTGAGGCACGAAGGAGATGGACGCGTGCATTCGTAGAATGGGAGTTTGCGTGTGCATTTCAGCGTGAGCAATCATCGCGGCTCATTTCAGCTGCAGGGAGGCTGTACAAGGGACACCCCTCTCCACGCCGCTGGAGCATTCGCCCGCTCGCCAGCGCCGCTGCTGCTCCAGCCTTCGCCCGCTTGCCAGCGCCGCCGCTCCAACACCCGTCGTCCCGCTCACTACCGCCACGGTCGAAGGGGAAAAGAAATGAGAAAGATAAGAGGGAGAGAGAGAGGGAGGAGGAAGAAGAGTTGGAGACAGAGGACGACCATATGTCAGTAGGGCCCACAATATTTTGTGTGTAAATGACAATGGGTCCCACATATATTTCTTAAAGAGTAAAGTTCATCACCGGTCTTTAAACTTGTACCGCTGTGTTATCCCTGTCCCTAAACTCGCAAATCGACCGTTCAGGCCCTTAAATTTGTTCGACTGTGTCATCCCGATCTCTAAACTTGCAGATCACTCGTTTAAGTTCTCCAAATCGTTTAGTTGTGTCACCCCGGTCTCTAAACTTGGATTTGAATATCATCTGGGTCAAATATGACGGTCTAAAGACTTTATATTTAAAAATAATTCATAACTTTTTCATGTGAAATCTAATGAAGACAAACTTTATATTAAACTTGTAGCCCTCGATGCGATCTACAACTTTGTAGTTGAATTTTTTTTTATTTTAAGTCATTTTTTGTCCCAAAATGTAATTTTAAAATTAAAATTTCAAAATCTATAAACATGCAACAATATTTTGGGACCCTAAACAGTTTTAATTCAAAAACTTTTCAACTACAAAGTTATAGGTTGCGTCAAGGGCTACAATTTTGATATAAAGTTTGTCTTCATTAGAGTTCACATGAAAAAGTTATGAATTATTTTTTATATAAAGTTCTTAGACCGTCCTGTTTAGGGACCGGGGTAACACAACTGAACAAGTTGGAGGACCTAAACGAGTGATCTGCAAGTTTAGGGGCCGGGATGACACAGTCGGACAAGTTTGAAGACCTGAATGGTCGATTTGCGAGTTTAGGGACCGGGATGACACAACGGTACAAGTTTAGAGACCGGTGATGAACTTTACTCTTTCGTAAATTGTAATGCTACGCAAGCACCACCTGAGATGAAGACCCGGTCAACCCTGCCACGTCAGCTCCACATCAGCAAAACCACCATCCAAAACCGCTCAGGGAGTAAAATTGCGCTGGTTTCAATAGTTCGGGGAGTGTTCCTGTCCGGTTTTCTTGTTGAGGGGTATGAATTAGATTCGGCCTATTTTTAAGGGAGTCAAAGTGGACTTTTTCCCCTTAGAAAATTTGTCCAAGTTAGGGGTTAAAACGGTCGGAAACGATCGGAATCGGTAGCATCTCTTCGGAAACGATGCTCAATCGGCCGGTAATTGACCATATTTATCATTTAAACTACTCGGTATTGACATTAATACGATGCAGAAAGAATTGTGAAAAAACAAAATTTAAAAATAGCCAAAAACGGTACGGTCAGAAACGGTACACCATATACGGAAACGGCACTCGGTCGATCGGGAATTTCCGTGACCGATTTCACCCATAGTCCAAGTCTATATGAGTGGAGATTGGTTGGATGGGTGGATTAAAGATAAAACACAAGCTATATACAAATATAATTGGAGATTGATTGGATGGGTAGGCTAAGATGAAAGTATTGGATCCTACAATAGTTACACGACATCCGAGCACGGTGAGAAGGAGACGAAAGGAGAACGACTACGCTTTTAAATTAGTAGAAAGTGGTAGAGATGAGGATTACTGAACTTTCGTCAGAACTGTCTAAAGAATCGAGTCGCCATCAGGTCGCCCCCTGATCGAAATAAACACAATGGTAATCTGATTGGATTTCTCACCGTGGGGGGATTTCCCCGGCCGATCTTGCAGGGCAAAAACGCATTCATGAATCATAAAAGCGAAAGATTTGTCTGCGTGCCCTTGGATCGATATCTGACCAGTTCTTCCGGATATGTCAGGTTATGCGTGGAAACAAATCTGAATTTTACCACTGCTAATACTTGTTGCAATCGAACTAAGCTAGGTTAGGTTTAGCGTAGCCAAACAAAGTCACTGTCAGATCGATAAATCAGCCTACCTGTCCCTGTTGTGCAGAGCAAATCTTCCAGCTCTCAACCCGGCCAACCTCTGAAGAAACAATTTGCCAAACTGTTCGGTTCATCCATCGCCAATTTGTGTTCTTCCTGATGCAAAAATTCTGAAGCTAGATGTCCAGGGGACAATTGGAATTCCATTTCATTAATTTGACCACTGTGTCTTCTCCATTGTTTCATGGCCTGTGACGATCGATCGAGCACTGTATTAGACAGTTTTGTCTGTGCTCTAATTAATTAATGTGACCAAAAGCTTGTCAAGTTTCTTCATGTGTGTGTTTTTGGGGTATTGACTCCTGTGCTGTAGCCTAGCGTCAATGTCGTGATAACATATGTACCTTCACGTGTGCAAACACTTGACCGCGAGGCTGCAGGCAATAAGCTGCATGCATGCCTGCCATGTGTATTAGACACATTAACCACATTAATTTCATCGGTCATCACGGCAGCTCGTACGCCGAACACGACAGAGATATCGCTAAAGTTATCAGCATATGAAGAAAAACGGATTTGATTTTAGTCACCTTTTTATTACCTCGTTTTGGATTACGACGCAGTCGATGGAGTTTATTAGGTGAATTTCACTTCGAACCACTTTTTTTTTACTAATAAAATAGAATATCTCGGCCTTTACTCAAAACGAGCTACAATTAATTATTATAAAGTTGCACTGAAAAAGAGTGTAGTTCAACAAAACATTGAGAACACGCACTTAAAATAAAAAAACCCATCTAAGATAAGGAGAACACTGAAAATGAGTGTAGTTCAACAAAACATTGAGAACACGCACTTAAAATAAAAAAAAAACCCATCTAAGATAAGGAGAACACGTTATCGAAGTCTATTTGTGAATCTCCAACCATAATTGGCAAAAAGTTACATAACTGTCGTCTCAAGCCTACGGCATGCAACCTTCATTAACTCGCCATCTTCATCACACCTTTGTAGCTGAGCCCAACACCGGAACCAATATTCTGCTCTGAAAATTACCTGCATATATGTAATAGATGGTGATTTGTCAAAAACCAAATTATTCCTGCTCAACCACAGAACCCAACATATTGCAGAGGCTCCCACAAGTATAAGCTTACTCTTTTTCTTGTCCACCCTCAAAAGCCAACCATAAAAAATATGTGATATACTACTAGGAGGGCATAGACCAAAAGAATACTGCATTGCTCTCCATATAAACTTTGCATAATGGCAATCCATGAAAAGATGTTGAATATTCTCATTTTTCATAAAAAAAACATCTTAAACTCCCATTCCAATTCCGTCTTGCTAAATTGTCTTTGATTAATACAACCCCTTTAAGTAAGTACCATATGAAGATTTTAATCTTAAGCGGCATCTTAAGCTTCCAAATTATTTTATTTATCTCAATATAGCCATTATTAATTAAAGTAAGATACATTGACCTAACCAAGAACCTTCCATTCTGATTAAAGTTCCATCTAAAACAATCAGAAGAATGGTTCAACTGGATATGTACAATAGAAGTACACAACTCATGTCAAAAATAAGATTCTGACCAATTGAAGCTCTCCTAAAAGAAACATTAAGTTGAACAGATCTCATAAACACTAGCAATTGAAAAACCTTTCCTTCGGACAATGGCATATAAAGAAGGATACTTATCTTTAAAGGCTAAGTTACATAACCATTTATCTTCCCAAAATCTAGTTTGTTCTCCATTATTCACAATCCAGGAACCCATGTCTAAGAAAGTACCCTTAGCTTTCATGAGACTAGACCAAAAATGAGAGTCACCTTACTTCTTATCAACTTGGGTAATAGACTTATTATGAAGATATTTCCTCCTCAATAAGTCTTGCCAAACCCCTTGTTTATTAATTAACTTAAACAACCATTTGCTCAAAAGACATTTATTTGTATTTCCAAATTATGAACCCTAAACCACCCTGATCTTTGGGCTGGCAGATGATATCCCACCTAGTAAGTATGTATTTTTTCTTATGATCATCTCCTTGCCAAAAAAACGAGATCTATAATAATTAATTTTTTGAAGCACCCCTTTCGGTATCTCAAAAAAGGAAATCATAAACATAGGTAAACTTAAAAGTACAGAATTAATCAACACCAATCTACCACCAACAGACATATACTTACCTTTCCAACTACTAAGTTTTTTTCTCAATTCTTTGTTCAATAACCTTCCAGTCTTTGTTACCAAGCTTTCTAAAATGCATTGGAATACCAAGTACTCCTTCCGTTTCACAATGTAAGTCATTCTAGCATTTTCTACATTCATATTAATGTTAATAAATCTAGACATATATATCTATCTAGATTCGTTAACATCAATATGAATGTGGAAAATGCTAGAATGACTTACATTGTGAAACGAAGGAAGTAGTTTCCTTAGTATTACGTACACAGTCCGTAGTCTATAACTCTGTAGCTCCATCGTTGAAATCCTACGTCCGCCACTTATTATCGATGTTTTTTTTTATATTTTTTACTCAATATTTTCACTTTGAAACGGATAATTTTATCTTTGTAGCATTTTAGACCAATATTAACACTTCAATTTTATCTACATCTAATTTATCATATATTAAAGGAGTAGTACATACAACTGTGACTTTGAGAGTTTATTTACAAGTAGGAGCATGTATACTCAAAGTCATTCATATGCTTAAGGAAATAGTTAGGGTGGTATAAAGTACAAACAAATACATCCTCCGTCTTATAATATAAAAAATTTTGGTGGGATTTGATATATCTTAGTACTATGAATAGGCTCTCTATCCAGATTCGTAGTACAGATGTATCACATCCCTACCAAAATCCCCTATATTATGGGACGGAGGGAGTATAAGACTATCTCGTTCGAATTTTTTTTAAAAAAATGGTTAAATTATGGTACAAAGAAAAACATCAGTGCTCAAAGTGAAATTCACTCCTATACGTAGTAACAAATAGGAATTAGGAAACAATTAAATTCATTCATCCGTTAATCAAGGCAGGGGTCGTCGATCGATGACAAAGAAATTTACCAGCTACATGATGACGATATGATCCGAAACAGATTCCATCGACTGTATCTGTACACGGAGAGAAAAAAACTACTCATACGTCGACGATACGAAGCTGCATCGCAACCACTTGCAGTTAGCTGCCGGCCGGGCTTGCGTGTGTCCGTTCCAGCTGCCATGCCCAAAGGAAAATACTGACGACAAGGTGAGAGAGAAGAAGAGAGAAGAGATGATGGTCAAGTCTAAGGCTGCGTTCGATATCCATCTTTAGAGAGAAACTTTTATCGCACACAAAATAAGAAAACTCATTAGCATATTTTAATAATTATAAAATTGAAAAGTGTATTTATTTAATTTTTTAACAACTTTTATATTAAATTTTTTCGTAAAAATTATACCATTTAATAGTTTAAAAAACATATAATAACGAAAAATGAGGAAGCCGAGAGTTGGAGAAAAGAAATAGCCCTAAGCCACCATTGTTACATGTCCACGTCAGCGATGAGCGATCAAACGACGATCCCCCTTACCTTTGCCCAACCTGACGTCTCCATCGATTTATCTGCTGCTGCTGCTGCTATAAAAACTGAAGCAAGAACAACAAAGATGCATGCTAGGCTGCTAGCTCTGACCACCGTCTCCAAAAACCATCCACGATTATATATAAGCTGGTTGAGATCTCTAGCTAGGTAGAGCCCGGAGAGTACGTGTGAGATGAAGCCGGCGGGAGCAGTGGCGGCGCCGGCGCCGGCGAGCGGCGGCGCGGTGGCGTTCGCGTGGGAGCACGAGCCGGGGGTGTCGAAGCTGCTGCAGGGCACCGCCACGACGGCGGCGGGAGAAGCCGAGAAGCTGCCGCCGGCGAAGAAGGAGGCGGTGCCGCACAGTATACGAGTGCGTCCGCCGCCGGGGGCGGCGGGTCGGGGCGGCCGGCGAGGCGGCGGCGCCGCTGCCGCCGTGCGGCCGGAGGAGGACCCGTTCCTCGCGGCGTTCCTGGCGTGCACCGAGCGCGGGAACAGGGGGACGCCCAAGGGTGGGAGCAAGCTGCTCGGGCTCGGGCTTGGGCTTGGGTCCGGGCTCGGGCTCGGGCTGTCGTGCAAGGGGCCCGGCGGTGTGGTGCAGAGCGTGGTGAGGCTGGCTAAGACGATGCCTCCTCAAGCCCTGAACGACGATTGAATCAAGTTGATCACGCCATTTTTCTGGCCTTATGGTTTACTGTAAATAGATTAAAGTATTACCGTTTTATTTTTATTTTTTTTGACCGGAACAAATTAAAGCTCGTTATGTTCGTATGCTCGTGAATCGATCACCAAAGACTTCACCTGCTATAAAATCTCTCTTGTTTTCTTATCCTTTTGGTGAATCACCAAATACTAAGGTGGTGTTTAAATCTTCTGAAGATAAATATAAAAATAAAGATAAAGATTAAATGTTTCACGCAAAACGAGATGGTAATAACGTGTGATTAATTGAGTTTTAATTATTAGAAACTTAAAAAATGGATTAATCTGATACGGAGTATTTTAGAACAACTTTCATATAGAAAGTTTTCGTACGAAACATACCGTTTAGCAGTTTGAAAAGCGTGCCACGAGTATCTAGAAGCTTATCCAACTTTTGTTGGAGAAAAGAACATAGCCTAATAGTAGTAGTAGTCGATGTTGCACGAAAGGCTTGAGAAGTGGTTGCAAGTTTAATTTTTCCCACTTTAGTTTCATATATATGTTTTTTTAATACTTATGTGTATGTGTGTGTTTATATAGGGTGAGGGTGCCCACATTTTAAGCACTTTGCGTACAACGAGATGAGCAAATCTTGATGCAACAAGCCTGCAACGGTCGTTCAAGGCGGTGCTGATCATCTCAAACAGCACAAGAGAACCACGACAGTAAGAACGCGGATTTAGGGAAAAAAAAAGATACGGAAGAATTGAATGGCGACGGATTAAATTATTAAAGCATCACCACGCAAAAACTCAAGAATGAGCTCAAATCAAGAAGCGTCTCAGCAATCGCCACCGCAGCCTCAACCCAAGGCAAACAAATCGACTGTGAGGCCGAGCTGGCCCTTCTCAACAACCAATATTTTGCCTCCTCACGGTCAGATCCAACACCGGCGAGCAACAGGATGTTGCCTTGCTCGCCAAATCGCCTAAAGAAACAACCCTAAACATGGGTTCAATCTTCTGTTTCCACCATTTCTATCGAGGGTATCGACATGGTCAAAATTTCCGAAATTTTGATCCTTAATTATTCGTTCTTAATAAAAATTAGTCAAATGTGTACGAATATTGCCAAATTCACAAAAAGTTGAAAAACATCAAAAAAAAATTGGCGAAATAATATTGTAGTTGGTTTTTGATAGAACCGATATGGAATTTTTGAAACCTGCCCTAAACCATCGGTTCCTACCGAGAAATCCAGAACCACGATATAGTTGGGCGTAAACCTCGTGCTGGGGTAGACGGCTAAGGACGGTCCGACCGCCGCTAGGAGAAACAAGCAGATGGACATCGTAGGCCTTGACAAGGTCACAGACACCACTGGCAAGTAGGACAACATCGTCTTCGAGACCCTCGTCCCTAGCAGTTGCGTCGTCATTGAGTTCGTCCCTAGCAGGGGAACAACCATCGTTGGTGCTCGACCTCCATGATCGACGGAGGCAGCAGCAGTGTCCAACCACCGAGCGATCTCAAGGAGGGAGGAGGAAATGTTAGGAGTGAGAAGGAGAAGTGGAAAGATGCGTCATCGGCCGAAAAAGATAGAGAGGAGGGTGAGGTGGAGGATGGGACCTACTTACATGTGCATCCTAGTATTTCTTTATCTTTTTATTTGACTAACATATGGTCCCACATATTTTATTTAATTTTTTAAATATTCTTATTTTGCTTCTACTATCGTATCAACGCCACATAAGACAAGAACCAAGTCAAACTAGCGACGTACGTAAGTGCCACATTAGCTAAAACTGACATCCAAACCATTTTGGAACCTAACTTACACATGTTTTGAAATTTGAGGAATGTGTAATATTTTATATTGTGGTTTCTGGACGTGAGTCAAACTTAACGTCAAAGACGAGGGTCCTAAGTGAATTTATTCCTCCTTTGAAATAGGAATAAGTTCATATGAGGTCCCTTAACTTTTCAACGAATCCGATTTTCGTCCCTCATCCGGAAAACCAGACACAACGGGTCCCTCAACTATCAAAACCGGTGCAGATTAGATCCCTCGGCGGTTTTGAGAGTGGTTTTGGCTGACGTGGTGCCTACGTGGCTAATTTAACTCGGTCTTCATCTGATGTGGCATTGACGTGGCGCTTACGTGGCAATTCGATCCGAAAAAATAATAAAACCCATGGGACCCATGTGTCAGTCTCACACATAAATAATAAAAATGGGGGACCCACGTGAGCCCCACATGTCAGTAGAACTCACCCTTCCTATTCTTCCTCCTCTCTCCCAGGGCGATGTGCTCCAGTAGGACATGGCAGCGCGAGCACATGGTGCAAGAGGAGCGGAGGAAGACGTCGGGAGCCGCGAAGACGGTGATCGACCCTGTCCACACCGCGAGCAACGCTGAGTTGGCGAGGAGCGGCGCCGCGAAGGCCATCTCGTTTGTACCCAGCGAGGAGAGCACCCTCGCCAGCTGCTCCAATTGCTGCTCGTCGCCCAAGCCCGCGACCCCGGCGTGGACTGGAGGCGGAGGGCTCGCTACGTGGCGGTATCTCGGGAGCGGAAGTGTCATCGTGGTCGTGGCCGTGGCCGCAGCAGGTTCCTCGAGAACAAAAATGACTGGATCTCTATCAACTGGTTCACTCAGCTCATTCATTGTACTTTTTATTAAGCATTCGACTGTCTCCAGAGCTTCAGACTCAATACAGCAAGAAGAGAAGGCTCTAAGTCTGTCTTTCCCACAACACCCTCCTCGGCCAAAATAGCCTTTACACGATATAAGTTGAGAAACACAGTCCTGCACTTCATCCACTGACATAGCAACACCAAGGATGACCTTGATGAGCACTGGATTTACTTCAAATTTGTATTCTGATTCCAGACCAGCAATCAGGTTTGTCAGAGCTGCCTCAATGTGTTGGTCAGTTAAATCGTACATTCGTACCCCAAGAGAAGGCATTACCATGGCCCCAGCCATGATTCCTCCATGTCTCTGTTCAAAAGGAACATAACATACCAGAACCAAAAATTTATTAAAAATATGATCGATTTCAACAACAGAAAATACATTTTTTTAGGAATGCATCAAGCGTTGTGGAATCAATTTTCAGTTTTTGCCATAACATAAGAAATCTTACTTCAGCATCTTATCAAGGTGGTTGTTGAGCTTGCTGAGGGGAGTCGTCGATCAGCGTCGGGGTTGCCTCCTCCGCCGCCGCTCCGACCGCGGCGATGGCGGCCTCCCCGGACAGAGCCTCGGCAGCGGCGGCCGCGGCAGCGGCCGCGAAGGGGTCGAGCACGTGCAGCGACCGCGACCGCCGCAGCCAGAGCCACCTCCCGTCGCCGATTCCTCTTCCGCCCACAACCGCCAGAGCCCTGCCTCCGCCGCTGCGCACCGCTTCCTCCTCTCCCGCCGGCCGCTGGCCGCCACGTGCCGCTACCTCTCCGTCGCCTGGAGAGAGCAGAGGAGAGAGACGAAGAGAGGAGAGATGGGGATTGGGGAGAGAGAGGAGGAAGAAGAAGAGGAGGGGTGAGCATGATACGTGGGGCCCCACCATTTTTATTAGGGAGAATCCACTCAGTACCACTGAGTTTTCCCCACTTCTACAATCTACCACTAACTTTATCAAGTTAAATAATATACCATCGTGTTTTCTTAAATCTCTACTGTGTGTCATCGCCGTCAGCTGTAAAAAGACATATTTGCCCCTAACTCATTATACATGTTTTTTTTTTTGTAAGGGAGAAGAAACATACAAGCAGCTCGTGTGGGCTGCATGCATATGGGCCGATGGCCAGCAGTTGCGTACGTTGGTCACCTACTATATCCCGGCGTATATATATACGGCCACGTATATCGGGAGCGTATATATATATATATATACACGCGTGATGTCACTTCCTCATCGGCAAGAAACTGGTGACGGAAGGATGACGCAGGACCGTATGGCGACGCGGTCGCATACACCGGAGTCCGGAGGTAAAAACGATCGAGCTATTAAAATGGATGATTCCCGTTATCCAGAAAACTCGGCGAGCTAATCCATCCGCAGGTACATCGGAACAGCCGCACGCGGCCATGGCGGCGCTGGAGTATGCGCTATGCGTCAATGGGAAGCCCTGCGCCCGGCCGCGCGTCGATGGGGAGCCCGGCGACCGACCGCCGCCGCGCGTCGATGAGGAGCCCTGCGCTCGACTGCGTGTCGTCGATGGGGAGCCGGGCGTTTGGCCGCGCGTCGGGGACTTGGGCGGCTGGCGTTCCATCGATGGGAGTCGGCGCCGCCTTATACTGAGCAAATCGTTTTGGGTGCACGTCTAGGGTTTTCAGTCAAGAAGTGTTAGTGTATGTTAGTCAAAGGGTATTTTAGTCATTAAAAAATTTTTCACTTCATCAAACGGGTGCCAACTAACGGCTCATGGACGGCGATGGCACGCAGTAGAGGTTCATGAAAACACAATGGCATATTATTCAACTTAACAAAGTCAGTGGTAGATTGTAGAAGTGAAGAAAACTCAATGGTACTGAGTGGATTCTCTCTTTTTATTAATTTGTGTGTGAAACTGACATGTGGGTCCTACCGGTTTTATTATTTTTCCGGATCGAATTGCCACGTAAGCGCCACGTCAATGCCACGTCAGATGAAGACTGAGTCAAATTAGCCACGTAGGCACCACGTCAGCCAAAACCACTCTCAAAACTGCCGAGGGATGTAATCTGCACCGGTTTTGATAGTTGAGGGACCTGTTGCGTCTGGTTTTTCGGTTGAGGGACGAAAATCGGATTCATTGACAAGTTAAGGGACCTCGTATGTAATATTTTATATTGTGGTTTCAGGACGTGAGTCAAACTTAACGTCAAAGACGAGGGTCCTAAGTGAATTTATTCCTCCTTTTAAATATGTAGAGATGCATCTGCCCGTGATTTAGCCCATTTAGACCAGGGCCGTGTCGACTGGTGCACGGTGGGCTTCTCCCGGATTCAGCCAGCTCCCTCACTTCCGCGCAGGACTCATCATGGGCTCACAGTGTTCTGGGCCGTATGTTCTTTCGTGCTGAAAGGCCTATTCGCGCCAGCCCATCTACTGGTTCACGACGTAGAGAGAAAGAGAGAGGATCCATATTCGTATTGGGACCACCTATACATTTGTCGATAAATTTTCTCCTAATAATTTAACAGATGTAATTATAATACAATCGTAGTGTAATTACACTGTAACTTGCATATAACTACAGTGTAACTTGTACGTAAATTTCACGTAATTTTGAATCGTTAGATCTATTACAAGATTTGTTCTGGTGAGGAAAAAAATCGTAGCACACACATGTGAAAGAATTTGTCCCACGACCTCCATTTTACTGAAATAAGATGTTACGGAGAGATTTTTTAAAGTTACATACAAGTTACATTATAGTTACAGTATAATTACATGCAAGTTACAGTGTAGCTACACTATGATTGTACTGTAATTATATCTGTCAAATTTTTGGGAGAAAATTTGTTGACAAATATATAACAAAATTGTTCGAGTTTGCCTGTCCTGATACTAATACTTCCATAAGATATTTATTTTCTGGTGATTGGAAATACAGTATAGAACAGATTAGGGACCAAAATTGAACTCACTGACGGAGAGCCTCACTCTGGACTCTTACGTAGTGAAAATATTTTTTTCGGGCTGGTTTATTTGTTGACACTTTGAACGCTATCAAATATTGGCACATTTCGGGCTTAAATGTGTTTAGTTTAGAACCTTTTCAAAATTTGGTAGATTTTTTAGGTTTGATAACCACTTAGATGTAGAGACAACTCGACGGCTTCTGTTCGAGTTACAGGTTTCTTTTTTTTTTTTTCCGAACAGTCATACCATCACTGGTGTAGAAACCATCTTTACTCTCAGTTGGGAACCCCTTTATTCCCGATTTTCCAACCAGGAGTAAGGATCCAGCCGGTTGATGTTACCAACCGGGACTAAAGAGACAATAACGACAGTACCAGATGGTCCCCTTTTCTTTTTTTTTCCTTTTTATTTTCTCCCGAATCAAGTAGGCAAATCCCCAAATCCCCAAATCAAAGTAACATCCCAAATTCACATCACCAAATCCACATCACAAATCATAAAGTTACTTATACACACAAATCAAATACATCACAAAATCCTAAAAAATTACTCAAATACATCACAGATCCAAATAATGAATCACAAATTTTTACATCTCAGTGAATCACAAATTTAAAAAAAAAGAAAATACGATGTCGCTGTCGCCGCTCGCCACGACCGCCGGGCGTGGCCCCGCCGGCCGTGGCTGCCGCCACGGAACCCACCACCCGCCGCCGGGCGCGGCCCCGTCGGCCTGCACCCCGCCGCCCGCCGCCGCGCGTGGCCCCGATGCCCACCGGCCCGCCGGATGAGAAGGGGAGGAGGTGGAGGAGAGGGGATGAGGAAGAGAGTTAGAGAGGTGAGATATGAGGAGAGAGGGAGAGATTCGATCCGCTAAGTTGTAACTGTGGAGGAGAGGATAACAGATAGGGATTATATACTACGTGTTCAATTTTAGTCACGGTTGGTAATACCAACCGTGACTAAAGTGGTGATCTTTAGTCCTGGTTATTAACACCAACCGAGACTAAAGATCCTCGGTCCCCTGACTTGCATCTGACAGGGGATGAACCGGGACTAAATATCATCTTTAGTCCCGGTTCAAAATTTTTATAACCGGGACTAAAAACAATATTTAGTTCTGGTTCTTTTTGGAACCGGGACTATTGTGGATTTTGCCAGACCGATCAAAGATGGTTCCTCTACCAGTGCATTGCCGACGTTTTATACAAAGAAGAATATCCCATTTTAATTAGAAAAAACTAAACGAAAACCACAACTACACAGACTCTCCAACTAGCCTAAACAATCACGGCAACAGAAAAGGACAACCAAGCAAAACACACAACAAACGTTGCTCAACAGAAGAACGATAAGACCAAGCAGCAAACTTGCAGCAAACTTGAAGAAAACAAGACTCCCACATTGGCAAAGACATGACGTTATCGTCATCACACCATCACTCACGTGATCGGGCGACTCCGACTTCACTAAGAAACGCCAAGTCATGTCAATGACCCGACCCACGCCGAAGCACAACAGAAAAGGGATCATGTTATCGTTGCCGCACGTCGCGCCCCGCCGATACCGCAGCTCCGACTTCACGATCACCAACCTTGCTTGAGCACGGGTCAACCAGATCGGCAAGCCTTGCAAACTGAAAAGCTCGCTACCCCACACCTAAGTCGAGTTATAGGTTTCATTAAGGAGTTTCTAAGAGCTAGCGTATACAAACAAAAGCAAGTGCAGATAGATATATACTCTAGTACACAGCCACTCGGTTCCATTTCTCCTTGTCTTGCTTTGTTTTTAAAAGGCACGGTGCAAATATAAAACTAAATTCGGTCAACACACAAACAGATGGAGGATCTACTCATGTGCAGACGACGAAATTAATTAAAAAGGCACTGGTACGTAGTGCTAAGTTAAGAATCAAACTCTTCAAAAGAAAAAAAAAGAAAACAGAGAGAGATAGAACCAGACGGCGACACGGTTGCCATCAGAAATACGAAGTACGTACAAGCAGCGATAGTATCAGAAATTCAGAACGACGACGCAGTGTCGTTGGCCGCTGAACACACACAGAGAGAGAGCCAGCTATAAACTACACGACAGCTTTGCTTTTTTGTTTATGGCGTGGCACTTGGTTTGCTTTGTCGCTCTCGTGTCTGCACGTGCACAGCCGGATGGCGCAACAGGACAAGATGGTGTCTATTGTGTTTTAGCCTGAGAGCATCCAAGGCTCTGGCTGGAAGCCTGGAACCATGCAATGCAATGCAGCCAAGCAGATTGGATGGAGGCAGGCAGGCTTGCAGCTTGCTGGCTGCTTCACTGCAGATGAGTGATATGTTTGATTGCTATTAGATTTTTAGATATTCAGATATAGGATCCGTGTTCGAATAAAGAAATGAAATTAGGAGTGGTCAAGTGGATGTCCTTCACCAATCACACAAGCTGCTCGATGCATAATTCACACACATTCAATCCTTCTCTTTGTCTTCGAGTATCATATAACTGGCAATTAGGCAACATCCAGTACTATCTCAAACAGTAGTGTGTGCCCCATGACTAGTTGATTAGTTGAGAAATCTAAGTTACCTAGTATCGGGTAGGGTGAAAGGCATTTTCATCATAACAATATGTTTCTGTCCTATATTAGGTATCTGTAATTTAGTCCGCTAAAAAAATGTGTAATTTTGATCCTTGTCTCTCTAAATACTCATTCTTTTCTTTAATTGTTCCTCCTACAACCCTATATACCCACTCCCTAGAAAATTAGATAAAAATAAAAATTGAAGAATAAAATTTGTCAGGTTGTTTGCTACAACAATTTAGTCCCGTTCTTTTTGGCTTATGGATTATTGGGGGTATATATGCTTCCCAATCTTCTAAACCGTGCGATTTTTACAAAAACTTTCTTCACCAAAGTATCTTTAAAAAATATATATAA